ATTTTCTGAGCCTGTTTTTGAGAAGTCCTCACTCCAGTGATTTCAAAGTACATCTCAGGGCAATTCCTAGCCTAAGCAGCCTGGCTGTTTTATTTAGTGTTCTTGAAAATATGTGCCTTTTTAAACAATGATGGCCATTACATTTTGAAACAGTTTTCTACATTCCAGTTGGCCTAATATTCTCAGCTCATCAAGCGGTCCCCCTTCTTCAAGCAAGGCTCTCACTGGGTCATGCATCTGATGTAGTCTCAGCTGCCAGTGCTCCGAAGGGGCAGTCACAGCGCCCAAGGGGCAGTGGTGGAGCCAAGCCACTTTGGAGGTTGCAGCTGAAGCCCGAAAACAAGCAGGGAGCCAGGACAGCCTTCTGAGCAACCTCATGTGCTTCCTGAAAATGGTGTGGCTTACCCAGACTTCATTTTCCTGTTTTCTCTTGCTGAAATCCTGGTGTGACCCACTCATGTGGTCTGCACAGAGGTGAAGACATAACCAGATGGTCAGAGGCATGAGGGACTGTATAGTTGAGAGCTTCCTGCGTCAACCAGGTGTGTGTGTATGCAGTGCTCATTATGGAGGGAGGGGTATAGTGCTAATCGACCAAGGGGGAGGCTTCATGGATTCCTTAGCCCTTGCCTCCCTCAGTGTAATGCCAAGTGCTGGACAGTGGCCTCCTCTGAACCCTAAGGGCTGTGAGCTCTTAGCCAAGTTCTGATGAGGAAGTGCTCTCTGAACAACCCAACACAGAGAGCGATGTGACAACTCAAGTGAGGGGAAAAAAAGAAGAAATTTCTTTACCAAGAAAGCACAAGGGAGCTCTGTTTTTTTCCACCAGACTTTGCTGTCACATAACTGGGTTACTTGTCACTCATGAAAGGGCTTGTCCTGCTGATGGTCAACAAGGTCCCAGCCAAGCCCAAGGCCTCCATGGTAGCACCTAATCTCCTCAACATAGGTCCCAAAGGCAGGCAGGATCTGCTGTGAAGATACCCGAGGGCTCCCTCCATTGGCTAGATAAGGAACTAAGGACTTGTGTTGCATCAGGATCACTTCAGGAGGCAGTTAAAATTCGGGCATGAGATAACTGAATCCTTTGGATAGATGAGGTACCAGTGATTTAGGTAAGCAGAGAATATCCTCAGGGCCATTCCCCTGATGTGACCAAAACTTGAAAAGATGGCACAGAAAAAGATCATGGAATCATTAAGCATATAATATAAGGGTTTTTTACCTTTCTTCAATGCATCTGTAATTAAAAATTTATTTTAAAATTAGATCTTAGCTGGTGTAAGAAAGAGTCTGAGCAAGAAGAGTTTTCAGAACAAAGTCTAAATCACTGATGATCTCCGTGTTTCTGTGGGCAGTTTAAAAAGCATGTGGTGTTTGAGGTACCCAATGTGGACTCTTCTGAATGTGGAAAGTGTGGGGAATGAAGAAGTTCATTACAGTTGGTGCTGTGCTGTCCTAACCTCTGTCAATCTTTCCTTATGACTCACAGTACAAGTGTTGTAAAGTACATCCTTCAAAGGCATTTTTTATATACTCCCTAAAACCAATTTAATATCAGGGGAAATCTCTTGATCGAGAATGATGAGATGAGAGCTTCCTAGTTTTACTTTTAAAACTTTTCTCACCGTCACTTCCCATGTTACAGTGTAGCTTCTCAGGCAGATGTGTATTACTTGGTGAAAGATAAGCACACATGTATATCTCTAAATTTCAGGAAAAATAAAGCTTCTACTTTCAGAGAAGTCCTCAGAGTGCTGTAATAAGGTATGAATGAGACTTGACTGATAACTGACTTTAAAAGAAGTTCTAATTTAAACAAAGGGCCAAAGTTATCAACATGACCAACTTGTACAAATGTGGACTCATCAGGGCCATATTGTCCATGTATCCAGGTGCTTAAATGGCAAATAGATGACACGTTCAGCCCAGGTCTTGGGGCCTGGCTGAGCCTTGCGTGAATGTCTTTCATGGTATGGACGCAGAGCTGTGCAGCCTCCCTGAGCATTTCAGCTGTACTGGGCCCATCCCTTGTCATGGTCTGAACTGGGAACCAGCCCCTAAAACTCTGGCCTCACTCTGGTCTTGCTGGCTCCCAGCAGCAGGGACAGATTGGGTAGCAGGCAGGGAGCAGCAGAGACACTAGCATGAGTCCCCTGCCTGTTTTGCCTCTGCCAGTGCCCTGGGACACTGGGCTGGTCCTCGCCCTCCAGCAGGAAGACCCCGTGGGGTGGCTGCTGCCCCTGGGGTAGGGAGGCCCTGCAAGCAGCAGAGCCACCCGTCCCAATGCAGCAGCAGTAGGGTCTCTCCATCCTTCACTCTCCTCTTCATCCTCAGGGCTGCAAAATCCAGGTTTTCCAAGGCTCCTTGAAAGCTGTGAGCTGGTCCTGGGGAAAGCTGTAGCTCTGAGATGGGTGTCCTGGACTGGTTCACCAGTGAGCTTACCCATGGCCTACTGTAGGATTTTGTTCTTCATCATAGGGGTCTCCCATCATGCCATCTGCTGTGACTCCATCCCTGTCCCAGGATTTGGACCCTTTCTTTTAATGTCAGGATATTGTTCCCATTGCACATGATAGCAGCCAGGCAACACAATCTGGAAATCCTGCAGGCAGCTCTGTGAGTGCTAGGGATCCTTTGGAGGCCTCCAGGCATGACCTTGCCAATCTAAACAAAGATGGTTGTTTTATCTGGATTTTTAAATGTTTAATTAAAAGGTGGTTCAACAATACACTACTGTTTTTTGAGTTGGAAGTACACATGAAGTAGATAGCAAGCATCTGTAGATGTATTTCCACTGAAAGGCAAACTATTATTCTTATAGTCAGCATGTAGGTGTGCCTGCCATAGCTTTCTAAAACAGTGAATGACTAACCTTTTCCAGGAGTTCAGTTTTTCTAACCTTTCCGTGAGTTTTTATTTTTTAAGAGATAGAGACTTACAGTGCTTATTTCCCAAACGATCACAAGGCTTATGATACCACTGCTCAAGTCTCAAACATTACTAATATAATCCTGTGCTTATAAACTGCCACCAAGACACCCATAACATGGGAGTCTGGCAAGTAGGCTCCCATTGCACAACACTGATTAATGCTCCACAAAATGGATATGCGGAACATTTGCTATAAAACCTAAAACCACACCCATTCTGTCTGAAAAAGAGACAAAAGAACAGCAAAAAAGAAGGATACAGTTGGAGGTCTGAGCTGTCTGGGGTCTCTGCAGTAAACACTGCCTGCTGCAGAGAGCCACTCATAAATGTCAGTGCTGATTTTCCAGACCAGTTCTTCAGCTGGTGTTGCAAAAAAATGGAGTCACGCCATTAGGCACCAGATGTAGTTTTGGGGCCCAGGGTACAGTGTGGGAAGCCTCTAAATCTAGAACAGAAAGAAAACATTCTGCCCTTTGTAAACAGCCAGGACAGACTGCAATGACAAATTAACAAGCTACCATACACTCCATTCTAAAGTGAGGAATAATGGAAGTTATTCATTATTCACTTTATTTACTAATAATGATACAGTATGTATTAATAGCAAGGGAGCATGGTAATTCAACATATGATTCAGTATGAAAATACATCTCAGGCTGAGATTATGCCGCATAATCTGACGGCAACAAAAGATAATTTCTGGGTGTCAGTATTCTTCCTTAGAGGCCTCCTTTAGACTTCATTTTCAATCTTGGCCATGAAGCTGTCAAAGAATGGGGCATGGTTTCAATCTCTGGGCAAAAGAAGCTCAGGACTAGAATGGCAAGGCACTGTTAAAGAAGGGCTGCAGGTATTTTAGCAGAACTGTCTGGAAAAGAAGATACAAAGCACCTGTCCGCTTTGAACTTAGGCTAAACATTGCTATTTGGTTCTACATTTTCATGATTGCCAGATTTCACAAAACAAAATTTTAAAACAAAATGCCTATTATATTTTAACATGGTGAGTAGGAGATCCAATAGGTGTGTCAAGCACTAAAAATGCAAATGCAAATGCAAACTACAGTGTCAATCTGAATTGCCATGCTAGGCCAAGCTTATTTTATTGCATACATTCTGCATTCTAAGTACTAATATGTTCATAATGTAAACATTAAGCATACAGAGTTAAAATTCAAGGCCACAATATTTTTGATTGTCCCTTTTTTGTGTCTTTGGTTGGCCGAGATCAACTCGTAGTGTATAAATGCATAAGTTATATAATAATTATATAAAAAGGAAAAAATAACATTGACTTGTATACTTCATTCTGACAAACGCACAGCGTTCGCGACTCGATAAAGAAAAACTGGCGCCCGCCTAACAAAAATACTTAGATGATTTCTGATTTTGGCAGTCAGGAGTTGTCTCTTGATTTAACCAATAGAAAACAAACTCCCTTAATAATGATGAGGTTCTAACGGGTAACTTTTAAATATCAAACACAATTCCAGTTTTACTTTTTTTTTTTTTTAAAAGAGATGCATATTCTGATTTCTGAATTCTTCTGCTTTTCCCTTTTTCCACTTTTTTTTATTACTATAAAATCAAGTCTGTTCCTCCTGTAATACTGGGAATGGTATGATACTGAGCAATATGGTTCACAAGTCCAAACAAGTGTTTCTTCATAGTCCCAATGCTACTAAGTTTTCAGTCTTTTCAGTCTCTACTGGTAAAGAAGTTTCTTTTCTCCCATTCTCACCACATTTGTCCTCCTCTTTCTCCTTTCTGCTTCCTCTGTCAGGTGCAGGCCTCTGATCTACAATCATACACTTGCCCTTCAGCACATTCTCATTTCCAATGTTTGGCTCAGGGTTCCTGTAATACTGTCAAGGAATCTTAAAGTTTGGGTTGTCTTCACAGTTTGAGTAGCTGATAACACTCTGATGAATGGAATGCATTTGATTTTAACCAAAACAATGCTGTTATATTCCAAATCAGCTTCCACACTAAACCAGTCTCTTTTGTTGATATGTTTTGATTTTTTAAATACAGGTAGGTGTTTGGTTTTTTTTTTTTCTTTCCCTTCTTCCCCCCTCTTTTGTAATGATTCATATATTGTATGTTAGGTCACTATAGACTTATCCTTATATTGCTGTAGTATAGTCCCGGTTTTGCACTAGCAAGACATCAAACTTTACACGTAAGCTTATCAACTTTTTAAGACCACTAGCTTTCATAGGCTTTCCTTATCATTTCATGCTTTTACCTACAATAGTCTATTGTTGTTTGGTCCACAGAGTCGATGCCCATATACATTACACTTTAGTATCTTAATACTTCTTGAATATCTCCTTTAAATCCCTACTACAAAGAGTCTTTTTGACATCTATTTTTAATGTGTTTTTTCCCAGCCAAACCTTCACTTGTCTCTTTAGGCACTTTTAATTTGTGTACTCCAATAGAGTTCATTGCAATTCATCAGGGACTGTATCCCAGCGAGAAGTGTCTGTCTTTGCTTTTTCTGGTGTTTCTTTTTTTCCCCACTTAGTAGTAGGTGCCAAGATGAGAAGGCATATGAGCAGCTGGCAGCCTGGTATTGGGGTAGATACCTCCAGTTGGTGAATTCCAGTATGGATTAGGGGCAGCGAAAAAGCTGGACGATGTTACAGGCAAAGCAGGGGGGTGGGGAGCTACAAAGTTCATCTTCTGAGGGTGCGCATGATAGGAGCTCATGTAGGGGAGGTCTGACGGGTATTTGTACATGGACGACTCTGGGGGGTGAGGCTGAAGAGCCTGAGCGATTCCGTGGAAGTCAAATTTGTAGGCATAGCGCTTGCCATGAACCTTAGTCATAATATTTTTATCATAGTAGTAGCGAAGCGCACGGCTGAGTTTGTCATAGTTCATGTTAGGTTTGCTTTTCCGCTCCCCCCAGCGTCGAGCCACTTCGTCGGGGTCGGTCATCTTGAACTCCCCGTTGGTGCCCTCCCAGGTGATGCAGTTGGAGTTGGAGCTGTCTGAGAGGAGCTCCAGCAGGAACTGCCATAGCTGTATCTGCCCACTCCCTGTGGGGGGAAACGAAATAGAAATGTCAGGACTAGTGACTAATAATGTTAAGACATCAATTCTTCCAGGCACTCGCATAGGACACTATTAGGAAATGTTGCAATGTCGGTTCCTACTTCTTACTCTTAACTAGTCCCCTTTCTCCCAGCCCCGTCTCATGAAATCCTAAAGAGCAGAGATAATTGTAATGTGTCATGTTTTCCCTCATCGAAGTGGCAGAATGCCATTACGTGGAGATTTCATAGTTACCTAATGTCATTCAGTGTAGACAATTGATGGGGAAATAATACAGCGCTCATTTAGGAAACTAATCTCTAAAGTTCAGGACAAACAGCTTTCACTTGCGTAACGTTTTGCTTGTTCTCACAGCATTATGTTGCAACTAAATGTTCTCTGCTATGGAATAAGCCTACACAAAATGGAGAAGTTTAGAGAAAGCTGGGCTCATGCCAAACCATATCATCCATTTGCAGCATTTGGGGAAATGCAGAACGGAAACTTATTAGCTTGCTGTTGCACTGCATACAACCATAGGGCAAAACATTTGCAAGAACGGTGAAAAGGTCCATAAAATACAGTCTTGTCATTGTTCTGTGTCAAATGAGTTTAAATGATTATTGAAGTTAAGACTTAAAATGTTGTTGGTTTTTTCTCCCTCCTCTGCCAATTTCATCTTAAAAAGAAAATAATTAGTCTGCTGTCAGCTTTGCAGAAGTGTGTTGCCCAGAGTTATAGGAACAAAATTTGACCATGTTAGGCAATTGAAAATAGATTTCAAAGGGCCTTGCCACTGATATTCATGTTAAAAGCTTAGCATTTCTTAAGAAAGCAGCACTGAAATGATGCAAAATACAGCTGAAGCAGCTTGCGAGGCAATCTGTTTCACAAGCACAATGTCAGCAGAATTTGCCAACCAGCTTGTATGTGCTAACTTCTAAGTACATCTCTGACCAGGAATCGGTTGGGTTTCTTTTTTTTTTCCAAACCAGATATGGGGGTATAATAAACAAGCTTTTCTTTAGAAAGCTTATAGTAGTGAATTAAAATATCAAGCTAGAGTAGCATCTGAAATCCATTAACAGTTTATACTTCAGTGCAACTGAAACCCATATTCATTTAAATTATATTTATCCAAACTGTCCTTAATGAATTTCTTCTGTTCCATTAACATGCATTAAGCAAACAAACAAACAAAAGAATCCATGGTATGAGCAAGGCATGCAAGTTTTAATACACGAAACATAACAAGAGGATTAGCCTTTGAAAATCAATAAACAGTTCAGCACTGGACAAAACACAAATTTTTGAATAAGCAATCCAACATATGTTCTAACATAAACACTTGCCTTCCAAATGTAATATATAATCCTATGAAAATAAATGGTTGCTGTCAATTTCCTTTTAATGAGAGAGTAATTCCACCAATTTATAAACACACAAAACATGTTAAAGCACAGGAATGATGGTGTGTAGGAATTCCATATCCAAATGTTAAAAAAGTATCCCAATCCAGACCATGTTAGTGTCTTCCACAGTAATGAAGGCTACCAAATGGACACTTGACAAATTGTAAAAGCCGGGGTTTACGAACAAATTAAAGGGAGGTAGGCCTCCACTTCTAGACAAGATCAGTGTCATCTGGAAACCCACCGCCTTAGGCCATTTGGAAAATCCTATTCTTAATACTTAATTGCTTTCCTATGCCATGCAAAACTCTTTAGAAAGTAAGATAATCTAGAACTGTGCTTGATGTCGCTTGGGATAAAGTGGAAGGAAATGGATCAGTATTTTGGCAATTTCATGCCTTGAAAAGCCATACAATGGTTGTAAGAAGAAACATTGTTACTGGGGGTTGAGGAGACCTCAATATGGAACAAGGAACACTGTGCCCTGTGGCTGTTAAAGCAGGGGAAATAGTAAGTGGCACATAAAATGTCTATCCATTGTGGCAGATTATGATGTTGATTATGGCGATGTATGGCCACAGTGTGTCCTGAGGACTCAGAGCAGCAACAGTGAAATCTGCACAGTTCACAATCAGTGTTATTAACTCACCGAGAAGGTTCCTCATCTTTAGCTGAAATATGCTACAAGCCCCTGTCACAATGCGCCTCCAATGAGTATCATGGGAAATAAGACACCTAGCTCATATGTAGACACCTACATTAAGATACATGAGTTTATGTGTCTTAATCTGTGACCTCAGTCCCACCCTTGTGTAATTTAGAAACCTAATCCTGCAACACATTGGGTATCATCAGCTCCCACTGAGTCACACTGAAGAACCTTCCAGGTCTGGCCTTAAAGCTGAAGTGGGGACACTAGCAGTGAAGAGAAATCCTCCTAAATCAGCAAAATCCCTTCTCACCTGGATTTGCAAGTCGGCTGCTGGTTGGTCCAAGAATCTGATATGGATCTACAAAATTGTGAAAGAAAGATTTTAAATCATGTAACAATGATGTCAAATATTTCAGGTGTTATTTTTTAACCTTGTAAGGGGCAGTGTATACCACCTGACGGGACAGCAGGTCCAACACTGGGGAAAGCAGTTCCTTTCTCTGCATCACAATATTTGCGTGTTTTCCCTTAAAATTGGGTGTGCAAGTGAACAATTGCAAGGATACACATTTGCCTTTTGTACTGTATTAGTGTGCACAAGCATATGTTCAGGCACACTGTAAATTTTGCTCAGAAGTATTCTGATTCCTACTTAAATGAAGTACACATACATGTGGGCACCCTTTGGTACTATTGACCCTTGCAGCGTGCCAGGGCCCACAGGCACAGACAGGTAATGGGGTGAGAGTCGCCGCCGGCAAAGGACAGTGGCCTCTCTTCTTGTGAGGCCACATTTGTTTTCCCCGTGCCACTGCTAACTTCTTCTGTGCCAAAAGAGCCTCCAGAAGAGGGCTGAGAGTGCATGGCTGAACCCAGGCAATGTGGCTGGGTCTATTCTTCTTTGTCACTGGAGTCCAGTGAGGGATCCTCTGTATTAACCTTGCAACTCGGGTTTTCAGAAGAGCCTGCATCAGCCACACAATGCCTGTAGCATCTCAATGTTTTCCTCAAGGGATTCCCTCTGGACATGAAAACTTATTTAGGCCTGATTGAAGTACAACAGGAAAAAGGGAAGGCTGTGACAGAAGTACAAACGCAAAAGCGATGGGCTGCAAGCACAGTCCCTCGCCCCTTGCTGAATGACCCTGTTGCTGGGCTGCCTCATCTCCAGACAGCTGCTCTCAAATGGACGCCAGCTTTACAGCCAAGAAGATAATCAGGTTACATTTCTTATACATTTAAATAATCTGTGCAGCTCACACAGAGCCCTTAAATGGTCCTAAGGACTTATATAAATCATTAGTATATTTCTTGAAAGATTCTCATCGTTGGAAGGCCAGATTAGATAAAATGCTATTTGGGAAAAAAACAGTATAATACTTCCCAGGCAGCATGCATATGAGTTAATGAGATATAGTCACGTGCACAGTCTTATTTAGCTATAACAAAAACCAGAATAATGATTTGAAATCCATGTGATAAAAACAGGCTCAGAGTCTTCTGAGCTAACAATATCCTCCAAATCTCTTTTATTTCCTATTTCTACCCTTTTGCTGTTAACAAAAGCCATAACGGATTCAGAATCTCCGCAGTGCTTTCTAGATACCTGTCCAAAGCACAGTCTAATTCACAATAAGGGATTAGGTCCTACCCCATGGATTAGCTGCTTTGAAAACACAAAATGCACCCATTTTGCAAAACCAGTAGTCTACAGACTCATAAACTTCTGCTTTCTCCTCAGTTTCCCAATAGACTAAGAACCCTCCTAATTTTCCTGTTTAATTTCAGGAGCCCAATTCAAATAGGTTTCTGTATGCTGTAATCCGTTTTCTTTTCTTTGCTCATGCACATTTCAACTGCTGTGGAGTATATGGTCTTTTGACATCCTTACCTTCCACCTTTGTACCTAAACTGTACATAGGTACTTTGTTTAACAGCTTTTTCACTCTGCAAGGTCATCACTGCCATTAAACATTACTAAAAATAATTTTCAATGGCCATGGGAGCCTTCATCTCAGATCCAGATATCGAGCCAACTCATACACATCTGGGGATTTTGTGGTCACCAGCTGGAGGTCTCATTAGTGGTTTGAATCAGATATTGCAATTTGCTTCTGGTTGGTAGGTGAGAGCTGTCCTTCTTATCATATTCAACAAACCCCATCACACCCAGGCATAATTCAAACAAAATGACACCCACCTAACTGAGGACGCTGGTCTTCTGTTTTGGGAACTGTTGAGGATGATGGCTGAGTAGCTGAAAATGAAAAAACCCATGTAGTTATTTTTCCAGTTTGGAAGATGGTCACCAAATCTGTGATAGATCACAGGCCTGGGACTCCTGCTGCTCACCACTCAATGATGGTCACAATAGGATTTAGCTTTATAAGACTACATGGTCATGGACCTGATGAAGCTTGAGTTCAAGGAAGGATGCGGCTGCCCCAATGACTCCACCCAGTATTGCCTATACACAGCTAACAGGCTTTCCAGCCAAGGCACAGGTAAAAGTCTTCCAGAGCTGAATGCTGAGGTAGCTCATATCAGTTCACTTCAGAGTCTACCCAGGTTGCACCAGATGTGCATTAGGCCCACAGGCTAGACATATGCAGATGTTTTTTACCTTTTGACTGAGGACTGGGGTGGGTGTGACTCGTCCATGCTGATCTCCTGGCTTGCTCATAAGGCAAATCTGGAAAGGAAAAATACACTGATTCATGCAGATATGGCATAAAGTGTTTATGTCCATAAGGGGCACATTTCTAGGGGACCCATTGGATTGGAAAAATTACTGAAATAGGAAGGATACTCCTTGTTGAAACCTTTATCGTCTTTATTGTCTTTAAAAATAACAGTATCACATTGCCCTCTGCATTGCTCTTTAGAGGTGCCTGTTCTTGTTAGATGTCTGAACTGCACTGAAATAGGTGGTACAAGCAGGCTACACAGTCCATCATTTCCAAAGGCTCAGAGTACTCCCTTTGGTCTCCTTCCTCAGCCCAGGACACTAAGGAATGAAACGTGCTGCACATCATGGACAATCTATGCTAGAGTCTGGCAGGAAAAGTCCCCAAAGAGGTCAGAGCTCAGATTAAGCATAAACTGTGTACCATTCCCTCCCAATCTCAGCATGTAACAGTATTTTAAGAAGATAGACTTTAGTTGATTTAATGTGCTATTCTTTGTTAGTCTGTTGCTGTCATCCCTTGAGATTGATCAAGCCTTGTAGGTTGAGTTTGAGAGTTCCCTTTTCTGCCACCTGGTCATAGGCAGAGATATGTGAGACAACAAAGTCTTGGTATTGTCTGTTGGAGATTCCTCTAAATCACTGTTGTATGTTTGTGTTTGCACCGGCTCTCATTGCCATCATGCACTTCATTGTGCTCTCCCTGTGATATTACTCCTCATGCTTGCAAGTGCTCTCTTCCTCAGATGCACCATCTGGTCTCACTCTCATCATTCAGAATCCATCCTTTTGGGATAATTGGTGGCTGTACTTTGCCAATCTCACTTGTTTCTCTTCTACTAGTCATTTCAAATTATTATTAATTCTTTTTCCTTCACTTTCCCTTCCACACTCCAGTATCCTCACAGATCTTTAGAAACATAACACGTGGAAACAGTACATAACACGTGGAAACAGTGAACATGCTTAAATATTAAACATATATATGTACACATATTATATTTCTTCCAAAAAGTGGATAGCTTTTTTCCTGCTTCATCTATTTAAATATTCCTTTCTGCTTCTTGGGAAAAGCTCTTTAACTTTATGTATCCAAATTTTCTTTCATTTACTCAGTACTTCTATTTCATTTAAATGCTTTAGCATATAAAAATGAAGAAACTAAAACGTAAAAGCTTTCTTCATAAAGTACATGTAATAAATTAAAATGTTTGGTTTACCCTTTGAAATTTTTTGCAGTTGCCAGTGCTTTTCTACAGCTGGCTTTAAAACATTAGCTAAAATTGCTGCCAAAATCAGAGACTTATGTAGCCTGCCCAGGATCTCAGGAGGGTAGCAGTACCCACCTGGTAGAACTAAGCTGGTGCAGATGATTTGATTCTTAACAGTGCTTATGCTTTATTTTAGAAATGATGTTTGGAAATTAAACCAGTTAGGAAGTAAAGAAACAGTCATAGACTGGCTCTGTGCAAAACAGATGTATCTCTGCCCATTTCCAAGCACTATGATCAGAAGTATCGAATGGAAATAAAGTGTAGTATGAAATTCACAACCAAATTGCCTTTAATTTATTTAGTCTGTTTGGCTTGAGGAGCAGACTGGCACTACCAGCACTGTTGTCTCCCAGAATCTTACACTTCAAAAACTTTGCTTTTGCTGAGATATGCAATTTATCTTTGTATTACATTTTAATAACTAGTGCCTTTTTATCCCTGGTTTCTTGAGAACTATTCCACAGCCTTGTCCTTCAGAAACTCAGAGAAAATAACCTGAATTGCACATGTGCTCATCTCTGAGCAGAATACTGGTGTGCAGGTGAATCATTGTAACATGCAGATGTCCTGACCAGGTTGAGATCAACACTGCAATTAATTGTAGTTAGAGACACCTCATGGCCTGAGGACTTTGTCATCTGGCAAAAAATTCAGAAGGACTCTGGTCATGTTTCCAGGGATTTCCAAGTTCTGTCTGTACAGAGGGGGAAAGGGCCCAGCCTGGGCTGCTTGCCTGTATCTTGTCCAGTCCTGCCTTGCCTGGCCAGATCTCTATGTCCATGGCAGCCTTGCCAGGGAGATTCTGGTGACATAGGAACCTATTTTTTCCCCCAGTTCTTCCATTCCCTGCCTAGAAAGACTACAGACAAATAGGGGAAAAGGTATGTGCTTGTCATTAGGCTGTGCAACTCCTCTCCTCTCCTCTCCTCTCCTCTCCTCTCCTCTCCTCTCCTCTCATCTATTTATGGGTCTCCAAATTATTAGGCACCTGTACACTGAGAGGGCTGTGTGATGTTGTGTGCTTGTACTCAGTGGCACTTGCAGCCTTAAAATATATTTGCCACAAATTTAGTACTCTGAGAAAACTGTTTTGCCTTTTAACTCAACACATCATAAGATGGTTTTCTGACTACGCCCTCTCCATTAAAAGAAAAATCCAGTTATCAGCCTTTCTTGAAATAGTGCAAAATTCCAACTTCATTCTTAGTTCAGTATTGTGCCTTGATAAACATGTTGCTATCCTAGATAAGCAGATCTGTTCTTATTCGTGAGATATTAGTACAACATGTCCTTATCTTGGACAGATCTTTGATGGGAATGCTCCTGTTTGATGAGACATGTAGACAAACCCATATTAGGTCTTCCTGAGCTCCTGACAGCTTCATTGTATTACTTTCAGCTTCCTTAAACCTCTGTTTCTGTTTTAAAGGTGACTGAAGAAATACGCCTTTGTCATTGCAGTTCATTACAAGCTCTGCTCATTTCCTATTTTCTATTGTAGTGCCTTAACAATGGCAATGCTTAATTATTTTCTCCAGAATTGCATCCTAGGATTTGGCTAATTCCCATTTAACATTATTTACTCCCCCCCTCCTCATTTTTGACCTTTTTCATGTCATCAAGTGATTGTCCCCAGGGTCTGCTATTGCTCTCACATGAAGGGTGCTTTGTTATGGAAAAGCTGCTTTGCAGTCTAGTTGAAGTGTGACATTTAACTAAAAGGAAAGCTATGGAATAAGCCAATAAAATAGTTTATTGAGAGAAAACTGAATTTCTGCAAAAAAAATCTTTTATTCTTTCTGAATAAAAATTCTGACTTTAAAGATGTTTGTCAACTTTCAACTGTAAAAGATAAAATAAAATAATACTTTCAAAATCACATGATAGTTTGTTGTAGGAAATGTTTAGTTAGGGTACACCAGTTTACACAGAAGAATAGAGACACCCCATATTCAAACTACAACTCCCACAAGGAATTGTGTCAACACAGGAAGATGCTTTTAATGTTGACATAAAACATTTTGTTTTGTAAGTGTCATTGTAAATGTGATTTGGATAGAAATGCTGAAATGAAGGACTTCACCATGTCTGATATGTGTATTTTAGAACTTTTTACTTCTGAGAAAACTAGTATTTTATTTTTCCATCACAAGTCAGGATGAAACAAATATTGAAATCATAGAATTTCTCATGAGATAAAAAAATATCCAGTTTTTTGTTCAAGTCCAGTGGAAACATACCCATAAAATAGTAGTCTTTCACAGCAGAATCATTCTAGCCTTTGCCTGAAATCCTCTCAATTGGCATGGTTATTTCCTGCAGGACACCCAGGCCCCTGTGGTCTTATGTTACATGTTCATTTTCATTGGAAACTACTGTGAGCTTCAGGCATCCAGTTTTACATTGCATAGTTGGTACCTGTTTCTATAGCTATGCTTTGTCTTCTCATCCATATTCATGTCCAGATTCCTCTGTGCCATTCAAAGCTCCTGGGTGCTACTATAACCCGTGACCATGAGGGCCACAGTCTGCTTTAATGTTTCATGACAATGTCTAACTTTTTTTTGAATATCCTTTCTTCTAATAGTGAGATTAAGCAGGTACTCTGTGACACTCTTTATTTTGATAATTATATCATGTTTCCTCATCCCCATTCCCTGTGTTCAACAATTTCAAACCTTTATATCTTTCAACATGCCCGAAAGATTTTCCATATTCCCATGGCTTACTCTAAGCTCTTTCTAATTCTGCAAATAGCCTTTTTGATAAGGGATGATTCACACAGCTTTCTGTACAAGGCCACACTGCTGATGTATTTAATGGCACAGTCAGATTTCCCATATGATCTTCCACTGTGTTTCTTCATTTGTTTACTTTTTCTTCACTTTGGCCAACAACTAGAGCAGTGGCTTTCATTGTGCCATAAATAAAGATGCCTATGTTAAATTCTTCTTTTATGAGTGAAGAGGGTTAATTTGAAATCGGTAAGATATGCAAATAACTTGTGTCTTATACTGCATTTACCAGCTTGTATTTTCAGCTGTTAAGGTATTGCCAGTTCGTTGATCTCTAATAAAGCTCTGGGCGCCTTTTGAGGAATCTCTGGTTTTAAGTAATAATAAAATCATATGCCATCGCTAAGTTTTATACCAAATTTTATTGTGTCCTTTTTCCAATTATTATTAACTATAGATCATGGCAGAGAATGTTAAAGCACCCATTACTTCAGCAGTCCATTATTTAGTCTTTGTAACGGATTAATTAGCTAGTTCTTCATCTGTTAAAATATTTTGTTTCTTATGATATGCTGATTTAACTTTCATTGTAAATAGTTGTGGGGCACTTTGGTAAATGTCTTATGAAAGCCAAATGCCAAATGTATGCATTGGATCAGTGTTTTCCTTTCTTTTCACTACAGTATTATTATAGACAAACAAATCTTGCTGAAGAGTTTGTTTTCCTAGAAGCTGAGCAGGGTGGATTTGATCATGTAATGGTATGGCAGCTGTTTCCCTATCTATCTTTTTTGATTATTAATTAACAAATCTGCAGACCTGCATAGATACATGTATACAAGTGTATATAAAATAGATACTTGTAGATACTCTCCTGGATTATACCCTAGAGCACTGATAAAAGATAGATAAAATATTTGCTATCCAAAAACCCCTCTGTTTTTAATGAGAGAAGGTATCTTTTCACAAGAGCTCCGTCAATTCAAGCGTACGTCCCTTCAGAACACTTGGATGTATGCCTCTGGCTCAGTAATGGATTTCCTTTAAATTTAGTCTTTTGCTGCAACTCCTCCTGATGTCTCACAGTACTTTGTGCTTATTACTGGAAAAGCAAGTGTCCTGATTAGGAATTTTTCCAGCATCTTTAGCGGTGAAGGGTGATGTAAAGAAAATTTTTAGCTTCATAGTAATGTCCTCATCTTCTTTAATTGTTCCCTTTAGCCTTTTTCAAACCAGCACACCCACAATATTTTCATGGGTTTCAAACTTCTGAGCAGTAAGAACTTTCTTATGTTTTGATTTTACTTATTTAGTTTCTTAAACTCACAATCAGATGTTGTGGGGTTTATTTGCCTCAAACATAAATAAAAAGTAGATATCAGGAGAAACATGTATCCTGCATTTTTAGAGTACTTTTTTCCCAATATACTTCAAATAGCATTATGAAAGAGGATATTCTTGCCTTATTTTACAGACAGAGAGCTGAAGTACATTGAAAAGTGAGTGTGCTGGGACAATGCAACAGAACCAGGGAATACAGCTCTGGTCTTCCGATTCTCTGGTGCTTTAAACACTAGATAGCATTGCTTCAAAGGCAGAGATATGTGGAAGAAACAGACATTAAACTGCTCTATTTAATCATCTCACTCTACACAGTGATATATGCACACACATATATATAAAATATATGTCTATAATATGTGTGTGTATTCAAAATATAGCCTAATATTTATGAAAAGAGAGTTGAAGGAGAAAAAGAACAAGATATTTCAAGAGATGAAATGAGTAAGATCATAGCATACAAAAGGTGGTCATTGTTCATACCTGGCCTGGTTGTAATTCTTTGTGTTGCTTCTGGATAAACTGATGTATTTGGAAAAATAAAAGTGGCACCTCCTAAAGAGAAAGAAGAAGACATAACACCTCAAGATTCATTTTCACAGTCCCTAGGTCCACTGATATTTTCCCTCTTGTAGTGTGTCTGAGTGAAGACTATGAATAACTATTTTCTATCTTAGGACTGTTATATATAAAAGTTAATTCCGATAGCCTTTGCATCTGTGTAAATCCATTCAAATTACTGGATAAAAGCCTGTGCAAAATCTGTGTTAAGAGAGGAGAGAGTCAAGTTCAGGAAATCCCTTCTACCTTCCCCACCATCACCTCCACCTGGGCAGGTGGTTTCATATCTTCTGAAATAAAACTTCTTTGACTTCTCTTCATTACTGCATGCATTTCCCAAACAGGTTCATATCTTCAACAGAGACTATAGACCTTGGCTGAAGACTATTGTTGTCTGTGGGAATCTTCTCACAGACTTTGGTCAGCTTTGGGTCAGACCCTCAGAAATCTCATTCTCTTCACAGAGTAAAAAAATTAAAAATATTGAGCTTGATATAGAAAATGGTATCTCACTTATCTCAGGCATTGAAATTGCTCTAACTACATCAAGAGACTTATAATGACCATCTCTAGGAACATGAAAGGGGTCATAAGGATTTGTGCAATTACTGCTGACTTCAAGAAGAACTTGTTTCTGACTCTTTTGGGGTCCTTTGAAAATCCCACTCCAAAGTTCTTATGCCACCAGAACAACTAATTTTCCTTATGCTCATGATCAACATATTATTCACAGTCCCAATGACAGAAATGCAGACAATCTCATTTTGGTGAAATGAATTTCAAAATATCATTCTCAGTGCAAATATATAGAAAAAGATAACACATAGAACTACTGAACAACACTTGGATAACTGTATGTGGAAATTGCTTGGCAAATTAGAATCTGGAAAGCCAGAGATGGAAAAGACCATCAAGTCCGTCTATTTTTAAAAAGGGCTTAAGGCTTATTCCAAACTCCATCAAACTCAATGGAAAATTTTTTGTTGCTTTTGGTGGGGTTTGCAGCATGCCTACAGCCCACAGTAGGACTTTATGTCAACTGGCAAACATCTAATCTCAGGGAGAGATCTTCTAATCTAGTTAATTTTGCTAGGAAACTCGCTGCTATTTACCACAGTGAAAAATTAAATGAAATATGAAAAAGGTATCACAATCCAAGGTTTTCTTTTTTTTTTTTCTTTTGCATTATCCTTTGTATTATCTTTTTCATTTCTCATAAAGAATTGTTATTTCTGGTCACCGTAGATAACTAACACCCTCAGGCATGATCATGCAATATTCCAAACATCTTTAATCAGTATGTATACCATACTATATGTACAATTCCATGCCATCCTCTGTTGCACAACTGCTAGAGCAAGATAAAATTTATTCTGAATTATTTTCATAAATATTTTAAGTCACATCCTGAAAGACAGATGCTTTTGAGGCATGTAGTGTATCATTCTCCTACCTACACTCAATACTTTTCTGGGCCAAATTAACAAAGGGGTGAATATTAACTAAAATCGTTTTACATTCAGATCAGACTTAGTGGAAATTACAACATCAAACCTAGTGGAGTTTCCAGCTCAAGTCCCATATAGCTAAAAATGAGATGAGCTAACTGCCTAAATAGTAATTTTATTGAATTATACGATATATATACTGCGTGGGAGGGGAAACAGTTCCCATTCACCAGAGCTCATGGCACTTAGGCAAGCGCTGAAGCACTTTTGAGCTCCACCAACCTTCTAGGGGTCCATGGAATAGATCTGACAGTACAACGAGACAGAATGAGAAAAAAAGTCCTCAGAGACAAAGGCCCCAAGCCTGCAGTTTATCATGTGACAGGGACCCCATTCTCTTGTAGGACACAAGAAGTTACCAGTAAGGAGACCATTTTTGCACCATCTGGCCCTACATTATCTCACCTTTTTTCTGTGTGTCTGTGCATAAAACTCACACACACAGCAAGGAGAACATACACTTCTCTCCCTCCTGATTTACCGTTTCCATTTTTAGCAAGCAACCCGTAAAAAGGAATCCTGTACTTTTAGAAGATGACCTATAGCAATGGGAGCAGTGCCAGCATTACCTGTGTTTCTAGCATGCATTAACCGTGGAGAGTTTTGTAAGGCCTTATCAACATCATCTGAAGTCAAATGTGGAAGAGGAGCTACAAAACAAAACAAAAAGCAACACCAAAATGAAAAAAAAATGTGAATTATCTTTTTAAACCATATTTTCCCCTGACAGGATTGTGTGAATGCGAGTCTACCGACAGTCAGTTTCAGTCTGCAGTTTGGAGAGAGGCATGTGTGCTACAGCTTAAACTAGGGCATTAATTTATTGAACATTATGAATGCATAGTATTTCTGACTGATCATTGACAGTGTGCGTGTGGAGAAGACTGCACCGCACTGGTGTTGCAACGCTTGTTGGTTTTTCTTTAAAAACCATGTTCACTTTAACTTCTTTAAACTGAGGCAAACCTGCAAAATTTCCTCAAGCTTAGATGAAAGCCCTCAAGCCAGGAATACACTAGTCCCTTCTTTCCCTTTGAAATGCTAGCCATGCACTACAAGTAATTTGCATTTGGACTTCAGGGACTGTTCATTTTTTCCAAGAATTTACAGAACTTTTATTCAATTTAGTGAAATTTTCCTGATCATATTCAGAGTAGAGCAAACTGCTGTCAGTCCTTAGAATCATGCCTGGAATTCGCTTTAGGAATCAATATTTGCACTCTCGTTTAGCGTTCTCATCGTTAAAATGGAAAGAAATGAGTATGTGACCAGAAAAAACATTAGCACTGAATCCCACATGATTTTCTTCCTACAGTATGCTGATGAATATGCTGGGTTTCAATTTGATTTTTCTCTGAGATAGACATGTAGAAATATTCCCTAACCCTTTTCTTCAATGAACATGAGTGAAAGCCAACTGAAATTAATGGGAATCTTTCCATCAAACTCAAGAGGCTTTGGATCAGGCTCTTTACTATGTTCTTAGGAACAGCAACATTTGCAACAGACATTTGAAAACCCAGCTGAGTGTATCCACACCATTAAATCTAAGACTGGTATCAACCACAGATTGATTGTAACCACTACCACAATGACAGAAAACTAGCTTACTCTCTCTGAGGTAGTGTAGGTGTGACAGGAGGATATCTGCATTATAGCTTGGGGTGAGTCTCTGGAAGTCATCTTTGGTCATTTTACACAGCTCCTTCCCATCGATGTTCTGGAACAACAAGATGTCCACATCCGGGAGACCGTACTCCTTCACCGCCCATTCCAGCCACTGGCGTACATGGTCTGTGCTCCATAATGTAGGATCTAGTGGTATCACAAAGCATAAAATTAGGCAGAGAGGGGAGAGTGATGATGTGCTGGACCAGTACAAAATAAATGTAGACCACAGTCAAACTGGACAGACCTTAATCCCCTGTTTACCGACTGCTAGAAGTACATGAGGAATTAATTTGGCCTGTTGAGTGCAAAGGAGAATAACTGTCTCTTGAAAACTATTAGGGAAGAGCTGTGAGCTCTGATTATTAACAACAAACCCTCTGCTGTTGAGCTCCTTCTCCCATTTAGTTCCTTTGCCTTGTTATTTTTATGCATTATTATGCACAGATTAACTTAGGCTACTGTCCTCATGCAGAGAATACTCTTCAGAAAAGTATTTAAGAGAGCCCACTAACAGCACTGCGACTTGTATCTGAACAATTTTCAAAGCTCTCTGTTGAATTTGTATCTTTATTCAAGTGAAACTTCCACTCAAGTCAGAAGTACTGTTTCTTGGGCATAGGCTAAGCAAGCACTCACAGATTTGGCTAGTTATTTCATACACTGGAGTGGGTCATATTAAAATATTCTGCACTTCCTTTCCTACACTGCTGTGTTGTACTGGTGTACATTGCTACACCTGCATGGATTTTTACTTACTACCTGAAGTACTGGCAAAACCATCTGGGGAAAAAAACAAGAACTAGTCCAGATCTGTAGCAAAACATAAGGCCAAATACCTTGTATTTTTGAATAAATCCTTGATTTTAACTTAAACTTCTTTTTTGTTTCTAAACTCCTCCTTGTCTATTTCTCTTCCATTCTCTTTTTTCCTATTCTTGAGTTACAGTAAGCACCCATCAACATGAAGGACCCTAACAACCTGCAGTGTACATCCCCATGATGGAAGACAGCTCCTACCATGAAGAATTTATACTTTTTGAAGAGAAAAGAATAAAGCTAAGGGGAAACAAACTCAACAGTTTGTGCCTTCCAACCTAAACAATTCTATGACTCTATGATATCCTGAAGGCTGAGAATGGAGCACGCAGAGGTCAAATGGCTGTACTCTGCCACATAAAATTCTGTGGAAGGACTGGGACTTGAGTGACAGCCTAAATAGCTATTCTGTGGCTTAATTCAGTGCCATCCCCTCTCTTTTCACTTGTTCAGGGTGGTCTGAAAGAGGTGGAGATCTCTTGCCATGGGCTAGGAACTATTCAGAGTCTGTCATGCTGTTGCTCACTCCCAATCCTTCACCCACTAGTGCGTCCCCTTTTCTGATGCTTCTTTTGGCATTTTAAGCCCTTGCAAGTCAGAATTTTTAATCCTCTGGAGCTTCAGAGAGTCCCTCTGTTCTCTGAAGTGCACCAAAAAACAGTTAGAAGAACCCCTCCATCTGGTACGAAATATGTAGCAATCTAGAGAGATGCAAGTCTGGCTGGTAAACCCAGGGTCTGGATGCGATTGCCCACATCTACAGCAGAGAACTCGAACAACTACATTCAGTTTGGTTTGAAGTAAACAACCAAACACCAGGAAGTTTACCAGAACAGTTTGATTATGCCTATAATTTTTAAATGCTTCTTATTTATGATAACTAGAAAGTTACCACACCTGGAAATGTGAATTTTGCTTTTTTTATTCCTAAACATTGCTACATGAGCTGCACACTGCCTATGTGGTAGTCAAACAAAACCAGCTGATTTCTAACCATACATTTCTTCTAGGGACCTCAAAATAGCAAGGCTGTGGCTGTGACCATCTTGTTCTTTGAATGTCACTCAAATCCACCTCAAAACACACCTCCGGGAATACACTGAGAAAAAAAGATCTTGCTGAACTAACCATGCTAAGGGTTACTAAAAGACTGAAAAGAGTGCCAACCACAAAGAAGACAAACGTTTTAGAAGAACATTCAAATGTCATGAATTTCAGTGTGGTCTGCTTCTAGTTAGGCAGGACACTTCATTATTCAGTGCATCACTCTTCCGTGCTTCAGAATAGAACTGTCAATACCATTGCAGAGGATACTGCAACATTATTTGTCCACATGTATCTTGACAAATAACTGAAATAATCACAGCTTGCAAAATTGGCCACAGTTAGTACTCTTGCATATCTTAGCAACTGAAAAACTGTAACAATATTAAGCAACATAGCAGTAGCAGAAATGTTTCAGATAGGCACATCTCTGCTGGAGGGGAACTAGCAGCAAAACATTCCCTTCTCTTCGCAGGTTGCAGGTGTTGTGTCTATGCTGTGTATATCCAGTGGTTTACGAACACCCACATATGTCATGATGGTCTAATGCTTTGACTTTGGAAATAGGCATGCTAATTATTTTGGAAACTGAGGCAACAAACCTTCCAGAAGAGGTTTGTTTGGAGGACAAGGCACACAGGAGTGAATGCCTTCTTGTTCAATTAACTGTTGAATCCCACAACGAAGCTTGCCAAGACTAACCAAGAATTTCTCAATTGTGCTCTTATATTGCAGTAGAATTGTCAGTTTGCTTACTAAAATGTTTTACACCGCCCAAAGTCAGGGGATAACCTAGATAAATGCTTTTCATGAACTGTTCGATTTCACAGAAGCTATTGTGTTTTAGCATACTGAGGGCTGGACTGCATTGGGTATTTGCAAGGACATCATGTGGTACAGTGATCCTTTCTCCCTCCCACACACTCTGCACCCAGCTAGTCCATGGTGTTAGGAAATGGAAGTGGCTCTTCATTTTGCCCACTTTAGGGTGAAATACTCCAAAAGGAGCTAAGAACTCAGATAAGATCTGAGTGCCTGTATCAGCAAGTTCTGCTGCTGAAATGGGAAGGCCAGGTTGAGGATGTGGCTTCACTGATATTTCTCAGCCCGTTCTCTTAATAACCCTGGGAAATTACTGCTCTTTTCTTCCTGATCACCTGTATCACATTGCCACTTTTCTCCAAATCTTAAATAATGTTAGTAGACTTATGGGTAATGCATTTTTATGGTTGAAATTTTCATGTAGAGGGTCTAACCTGCTGGCACAATGACTCTCCGTTCATTGGTAGTCATATTTGGGGGTGGAATGTGCTTCTCTTCCATGTAGTTTCCATAGTTCATCCCAACATTGTCTGAGCCGCTAACCATTTTCCCTCCTTTTGCCACGCTGCAGTCATCAGGAGAATTCCTAGACAGAGAAGAGAGGTGTGCTTCTATTATTATTCCAGTCCCTACTAATATCCTCAGCAAAGAATCACGCTGAATGAAATGAAAAAAAATGGGACTCGAGCACCAGGGTAGGGCTGTCACTGGAAAACTTAGTACCTACCACCCAATGACTCTGCTGATTCCTTCAGTTGCCTCAGAAAAAATGACCAGCCTCAATGGACCATACATTTGTTTTTATTTTCAAAGGATCAGACTCTTATATGTCTCCAAACATATAAGCACTAACGATTTATTTCCAGAGACCGGGCTAGAATGGAGGCTTGTTCATGAGCTTGCTGAGCCCGATGGCTCCAAATAGCTGCACTTCTCTCTCCAAACTTCTCACAGATGACTCGGCAAACATAGAGGTGCACTTAATGTAAATTTTCTGAGGGAAAACTATTATTAGTTGTCATTGTCCAAGCCTTGGACAAGGCTTGTCCAAGGCCTGGACAGCTTCCCATCTCCACTGCTGCCATTGTTTCATGTGGGCCATGCTCAGTTGCACTTTATGTCATGCAATGTAGAGACACTTCTACGTATGGCTTACAGAAAAGGAACATTTGCCAAAGTCATGATTCAAAATACCACACGCATGACTGGAAAAACCTTTCAGTTCCTGACTAGCACAGTCTCCATGGTACTGTAGTCAAGAAATGGAAATCTGCAGAGGATCTGCAACCAGACACCTCTTTAATTTTGGCTTTGCTTTCTGAATAGAGTCTTTAGGTTTAACATCCCACAGGGGTTCCCTAATGGCATTTTAATTGCATCACAGTTTTCTTTCTGGCAGACACAGACATATTTGTCCCTTAATTTAATGTCTACAACGTGTTTCATCAGAGAGAGAAAAATTGTTACAAAAATCAAAATAAAGAACAGAGCCACAGGGAATAACTTTAAATGTAAAGAGGCTGTTTGGCAAGGGAAGGAGGGTGTTAGTTGGGTTTTGCTTTCTTTAGTGATACTACATTACTAACAAGCTTTCTTTTAGTCCTGCCATTTAACTGCTGAAACTGTACTATGGTCTTACTAAACAAGCAGCAAGTCAGGTTGCGATGTTTCATTTTGGTTCCTTGCAAACCAACTAATTTGCAGTCCAGAGAACCGAGAGACCCTCCAAGACCCAGACTCCTGGAAGCATGTTTCAGGACCTGCCCCCCAAAATGTGTTTCACCCAGAGCCTCTTGCTCTCCCCAGCTCGAAAATCCCAGCTCTTGCTGCAAGTGTTGGGCAGCAATGTCACTGTAAGCCCACCAGTGGTCAGAATACAGGTGCTTTCCCAGACGAGTTTTGCTATTGTTTGAGGTCAAAAGAGGAAAAATAATACTCAGTTTGGACAACTGTCTGCTCAACATACATCAAAAGGATGTGGCAGATATTTTATCCAATGCCCGAGTGACTCAGTTGAGTTGACTGCTCAGCACTACCATGGGTCAGGAACTAATGCAGTTATAATTCTCATGTGTGTTTTAAAAAATAACTAGCACTTGGAAAGCTGAAAAGATTTAGTATACATCTTAAATACTAAAAGTACATTTTAAGTATAGCAGTTTTTTTCTATGCAGTGTTACTTCTGATTTTACCACGTTGTGTTAATATATATATTAAAAAAAAAAATTAACTGCTGATGGCTTTCAGTTTAAAAATAAAATATATCACAGAAACAATTCAATGGGTACTGTCATCTTCTTTAGGAGAAGGAACAGGGCCTTGAATGTTGCCTGGGAAATGTTGGCTTCACATACCTTTTTCAGGTATAAAGTATCTTGGGTGATGCATAGCATACTATATACTAAATCTGCCTTGTGTAAAGGTCCTACAACTGCTTTGTCAGCCACAGGACTGAATAATAACCACAAGGGAAGATACAGTCAGCACATGGTCTTGCCTGTCATTGAGTGGTGGTGAATTTAGCCTTTCCTCTCAGAACCAGAATACTTGGGCATTATTCTTTCGGGTTTAACTTTTATATCCCACTACATAGCTCTAAATATAATTCTGGGATGCAGCTTATTTCTGTCTAAAGAGAACTAAGCAAAACAAAGTAACTTTTTCTTTCAGGTGTAAACATGTTGAAAAAGAGCTTTTGTGATGATTGCTTGTGACTAAAATGTTGGCTTTTTCTGTTTAACAAATACAAATAGCATATATGCGTAAGTGAGTCTGCATACTAAATCATGTATATTTGGAAACACCACTCAACTCCTGCCCTTATACCTGCGCAGACGCCCACCCTGACTCCCAAGGTTAGTTATGGTCCAAAGACAAAAGAAAGAACCATTTGGCCCATTCAGTGATTTTTTAGGGATGTTTTTGGGAAACAGCCAGCAGCACCCTTTGGCCTAACTGGCACAGTTACTTTATTTTGTTTTTCTGTGAAAAGGAACTTGGAATATAGGGACATCAAAGTCTTGCTGCTGACGTGAAATATCACATCAGTATTAGCCTACACCACTTCTATGGGCAATCATGCATTAAAAACACTCTCGTAAACACTGAACAGTAAATGATGTGAAAGATCCAGTAGTAGCACACAGCTTTTGGCAATCTGACAGGGCTTCTGAGCTGGTTTTCTGATCTGAATATAAACAGACAGGGGTGGGGAAGAAGAGCATAAATAAGTCATAACTTTTCATTAAAATCCAGAAGCAGATGGTCAAGGGTTTCGTCCCATTAGCTTACTGGGTGGACAAGCAAATCCCCAGTTCAGCAAATCTTCTAAGACTATGCCTAACTTCAAGCATGCAAGCAGCTCCATGGGAGCTAACAGGACTACTCAGGTACTTCAAATTGAGCGTGTGCTTATGCATACCACTGAACCAAGGTTTAATTCAAATAGCTGGAATGGACTTCTACAGTATAGAAAGCAAAACTGAAAATGCAAGCAGACACTAGAAAATAGCATTTTTAGTGCTCAGAACAACAAGAGAGTGATTGTCTGCAAAAGCTTTTTTTAGGACTTTCTGTGAGTCTGCTTTATTTCTGAACCACCAGGGGAGCAGAGGCAGTGGAAAAGCAGCTTTCAGAAAGTGTGCCCAGTGTAAAGGGTGCAGCTTTGCAGTGATTCATCCTAAGCTCCAGGTCTGAAATGAAACGCGAGATGTTTTTCTTCACAGCTGCATGTTATTTTTAGCCTTTGTAAATATACTGCGTTACACCTGGAATTTACAAAAAAAAAAAAAAAAAAAAAAAAAAAAAAAAACACAAATATGCTCCCCAAAAGCCCTTTTTCTCCCTGGGCGGCCTGTGACAATTTTACTAGTCATTTTATTTATTCTTCAGCCACTTACCAGTCTCAAGATACTTCAGAAACAGTTTTCAAAAATATGCAACAAGACTCAAAAAGGCATCTTATTAGTGGAGACAGGTGAGTACCTATGGGCTGCAACATGAGTTTAACTACAGTATTAGACACCAGAGAACCCATGCAAAGGAGCAGCATGAGGAAACAAACTACAAGAATTTCACACCTGAACTTATCTAGTTTTTCTATAGCTATATTGAGTTGATTTGTAAGTGTTTAAGGGAGACTATGCAAAGCCATGTTTCTATCCTCTACCTAACTCCTCTAATTAAACATAGATAGCATATCCAGGCATGAAGAATTTCACCTTTAACTGCCTTTTTAAAAAAAAAAAAAAAAAAAAGGAAATTAAAAAAAAAAAAAAAAAAAAAAAAAAGTGAACAACTACAATCATGCTACCCAAGAGCACTTTGTCCAGTCCTGAGCTGATTCAGCTCCAACTGCTCATAACTGTCTATTGAAGAAAGCATTTCTCCATGAGTCCTTGGAACTGGAAGCCTCGTCTTTATTCAGGGTTACTTAGAATCAAGCTGATTTGATGGTTAAATTTAGCACCCACTCCTACTGAAGCCGATTGGAGCTTTGCCAACCATTCACTTTGATGAAAGCAGATGTAAGTTCATAAATAAGTGTATGAAACACAATTTTTCCTCTTCAATATGCTACTGTTTTCCCCATGTGACATAAAACACCTGTGTTGTGTTAAAATGCAAGGTGTCAGAGAAACACAGATTAGGAAACAGCAAAATTTTACATGATCTTTGTGACATTCCCATAATATAAACCCCTCTATTTAAAATTTCTGAATTTCAGAGGGAAATAAATGAGAAAAATTGTATTCTCCAAATATCTATATATCTTTATAAGTTTATTTAATAACCACAGCTTGAATAACTTCCTTACAGAGCCTACTTATAGAAAAGGGGTCTCAGGAGAGTAGAGTGGTGCAAGTACATCTTTGAAGAGTTTTCCATGCATGGTCACCGTCCAGCCTGTCTCTGGTCAGGTCAGAGGACACACTGAGCTACCAGGAATTTTTCTTCTGTGAGGCTCTGGCGAACAAACCATGCCACTGTCCTACAGGATACAGATTCCTCTCCTCACCTCTCCTATCCCATTTCGTAATGCCAGTGATCTGAGAAAGAGGGGAATGGTCCCAGAAGGACTGCAATGACCCCACCCTGTCCTTACGTACAAGAGGGAGCTCCACAAAGCCAGCTCCCTCAGATAATTCAGGCCAACATATGTAAATTTATATTTAGCCAAAATTACATCATTTAAAGGTCAGCTCATACTGAGTGTATTGCAAAGCATGCTCAAGCTTGTCTCCATTCACTGCAACTACTCAAGTTGTAGCGAATTTGATGAGTGCCTACCCTCCCCCAAAACGGTTTGTCATTGAAAAAGTGGCCCATGAAGAAAAAAACAAAACTTCCCTGAGATTTCTTACTTTGAGGTACACTGCTGTTTCTTAAAGCACACCTGACATACTTTATTCCACAATATCAATTCAAAGGGTTACACAGCTGCAGCCCTAAACTCTCTTCCCTGCCCCTCTCTACACCCTCTTCCTCTTCATGAATCAGTGGGATTCACATCTGCTGAGACCTGCCACAGGGGTGACATGCAAAGAGGGGTCCTGTGGATCCCCCTTTGGGTTCCCCTTTGGCAGC